CCGGAGAGCGGAAGCTGTTGGCCAGGTGCCCAGCTCTGAAGGCAGCGGCCCGCCAGCAGCAGCACAAAAGTAAGGGTAGCAATACCATACCATGCCACCCTTATTTCTGCATTGCTGCCTTCAGAGATGGGCAGCCAGAGAGTGGCGGCTGCTGACTGAGGGCTCAGCTCTGAAGGCAGCAGTGTAGAAGTACGGGTGGCAATACCATGCCATGCTATGCTTAACTTCTGCTGGACTCCTGGCCAGCGGCTGCCGCTCACTGGCCGCACAGCTCTGAAGGCAGTGCCGCCGCCAGCAACAGCGCATAAATAAGGGTAGCAGTACCCCCTGTAAGCCCCCTACAATAACCTTGTGACCCCACCACCCAAACTCCTTTTTGGGTCAGGACCCCTATTATTACAACACTGTGAAATTTCAGATTTAAATATATGAAATAATGAAATTTATGATTTTTAAAATCCTATGACACTAACATTTACTAAAATGGACCGTGAATTTGGTAGGGTCCTACATATGATTGAAGAAAAAGGTGACATTACTCAAACTGACAACTCTTTCATAAATGTCTCAGCCCCTATATAAATTTAGGAGAGTTTCCATTAGGCAGCTACTATACCTTTTCTGTCCATAAGTTTGAATTAACTAGCCCTTCTGCCTGTAGAAAGTCCTGTACAATGAGCAGGAGCCGGAAGGCATTTTCAGCATGTGTCGGAAGAGCTTTTGTGTCTCTGTTATCAGTGACTGTCCATTCCAGCATCTTCTCTAGCAAGCTGAATGGAAAACAAAATCCCAAAGTAATTATCACATGTTCTAAGAGTAAGTGGCTTTTAAAAAAATCCCATAAAGTATTTAACTGAGCTTAAGTGTACGTAGTGATATTACAGTCTTCTACTCTGTAAACCAGTGAGATTAAGGAGATTGTGATCTTCATAAAAATCAGGGACATACAATTTTAAGTTCTGTCAAATAAATTCAATTTATAAATAGGTACAGATGTGTAGATATACGTCTGATCATACTTGCATGAGAATGAAGGGGATCAAAGTAAATCAATTAAGTGTCTTTCACCAGGATTTAATGTAACTCTGATTCCATCTTTTTTTCCCTTTCCCCTCCAAAAGAAAAGAAGAAATCTGTCATGACACTATACTCACTTGAGTTTTATTTCATCAGAAGGTTGCAGTAACTCATTAGATATCCCCAGTTTGGTCAGTGCAGAAAACACCTGCCCCCTCTCAATCCAGACAGCATCATCAAACCTTTCTAAACCTTTCCACATCACACAGAGCAGGACATCTGTGAGCAACTGTATGAGCTCCTCTTCAGATCCCTATGAAACAATCAAGGAATTCACACTCTTCATAGTTCAGAATGCCTCAAAGAGGCTTGTTATTCGTTACAGTACACAATGCTTGGAAAGTTTCATCATCTTTAACATTGTAGCCTAAAGAGTCTGCCCACTGACTAAATGAAAACATTAACCTAAAATTATGCTGCAATGATGTTTAGTCCAGATTATTAAATTAATATTTGCTTTACTTTCTATGCAAGAATTTAGACTGGAGTCTTAGTACCACTGATTTGGCCATAGCACAACTTTTTCCTTGATGAGGATGATACAGGTCATTCCAATATAGCTTTGATTTAAAGAATAAAGTTACAATTTCAGCCAGCAAACTTAAAAAAACAACCTTGAAAGCTGGATGTTTATTCTGCCACAAACAGCACTGATATCCAAATGCAAATGAGCTGCTTTATCCGCTCTTCTGTTAGAGGGAGAACAGCATAACTATCTAATTCGGGAGGGTATTTTAAAAGAATTAAAAGTACTGTGAATTATACATGTTTAGACAGGATGGGGAGGATTACTTACTCCTTGGTTTTCAAATAACGAAAGATCAACGCTGAATCCCATATCATTGATGACGCTTGATTCTTTGTCAGGCTGACCAGAGAATGGCTTTGAATTTTCAATGGGTGACGGTGTGCTGGGTAGGCTATCTGTCATTTGATTCCCACTATCAGCCAGCTCATAAGAGTCCACGCTAGACAGATCTAAACGCAAATGTGAAGGATTACTGTGCCATAACTCTTCTTGATCCTCTGACCTGAAAGTCATCTCTTCCATGGAAGTACCTTCCAGCAACGTACCAGAAAAACAGCTGGTGACATCTAAAGATTTGCTGTCTTCCACGCTCCACTGATCATATGAACCATTAACTGAGGCAAAGCCACCAGCTTTCCCCCCCTCTGTCTGATCAGGATAGCATTTCCGAAGCTCTTCAGGAGGAATTTTTTTTTCATCTTCCTTTGTAGAGTCAGTCCTGCTCTCTTTAAGTCCATTCCTGATGTCGGAGTTTTCTTTTAGGAATAGTCTAACCAATGTCTCCTGCCAGGCTAACTGTTGAGAAATCTGCTGTGCTGCATCTGGCTGGGAATGTAAAAGCTGTAAAACCTGTAGAGAGCACAAGAGGTCAGGCTAAATATCCAAGCATGTACACGTTAATCTTTGCTACATAACTGCAGTCATTCTAGCCTTTAATCACACATTTCGTACTCCATTACATTTTATGCCTTCTGCGAAAAAATTCTTGTAATATAAATTAGTCAATAGGCATACAGCACATATGAGCTATAGATAATTCTTCACAGGAGAAAGTGAAATACATATTTAACTTTCTCGTGTTTGTATGGATCTTCAGTATTTTGCATGAATTAAGATAATCAAATAGTAATCATTTACAATAGAAAACAAAGTTAGACATCAGACAGTCATACAATCATTTTGAAAATTGCACGTATTTCTTTTATTCTACTGAACCTACATCTTATTTTAATGAAGAAAATAATGATTGGTGTGGTAAGAAATAGAATATAGCTTGTTAAAAGCTAACAATGTACGATTAAAAAAAATACAACCCCCCCCTATTAATTTATTACTAAATGCAAAAATAAAGTTTCCTTGATATTGAAATAAAGTACAAAGCTAACTATAGCACATCGGTAATGTTTCCATCTCTTAGGCCCCCTTTTACAACTATTTCCACAAAAAGCAGTCACATACACCACAACACATATCCATATTCAGAACACTGGTTTACAAAATCAATACAACAAATTACAAAATATATCGGATTAGAAACAGCTGAGCTAGAATAAAAAGGACAAATAATGGTGCTATATATACACACACACACACAGTGGAGTCGCATCATACGCGCATTTAACTTACGCGAATTCAACTATATGTGCGCAATGAGCGTATGCCCCGGAGTGATAGTGAAATGGGAGACGTGAATCTGCTGTTCTCTCAGTTGGTCTCAGTTCCCGCGTGCCTCTCATAGTGTGAGCATCTCGCCGCGCTGAGTGTGATTCTAGTGTTTAAAGATACGTATTTTTCGTACACTATGGCCCCTAAACGCAAGCTAACTACTTCATCTGGTGCTCAATCGAAGAAACAGCGATCTGTTCCAATGCTGGAGGAAAAACTGTCTGTGTTGGACTTATTGAGAGACGGTATGTCGGTCTCCAACGTGGTGCGTAAATATGGCCGCAACGAATCTAGCATCTGTGCCATCAAGATTCAAGAGAGAGAAATTCGTCAAGCTGTGGCATCAAGTGCTCCAATAACTGCTAAGGTGACAAGCTAGGTGTGTGATAAAACTTTAGTGAAAACTGAAAAGGCATTAAACTTATGGCTGGAAGAAATGAACCGTAAACACATGCCTATCGATGGCAACACGTTGTGAGAAAAGGCTCTTAGCCTCTACGCACTGTTCAAACCTCCCGCCGAAGAGGGACAGCCTTCTGATGAGAAGGAATTGGCTTAACAGTTTTAGGAACCTCTTCAACCTCAAAAACGTGCAGACTACTGGTGAAGCTGCATCTGCCGATGAAGAGGCAGCAAAAGCCTATCCCGAACACTTAAAAAAAAAATCATAGATGAAAAGGGCTATCTTCCGGAACAAGTTTTTAATGCTGACGAAACTGGGCTCTTCTGGAAAAAAATGCCCACCTGCACTTACATTTCAAAATCAGAAAGACAAGCCCCTGGCTTCAAAGCAGCTAAAGACCGTGTGACTGTGTTGTTTTGTGGCAATGTGGCTGGGCATTTAATAAAGCCGGGCTTGCTCTACAGGGCTGCAAATCCCCGTGCCCTAAAAGGCAAGAACAAAATCTCCTGCCTGTGTTCTGGCAATCAAATAAAAAGGCTTGGGTGATGGCAGTATTATTTCTGGATTGGTTCCACAAGTGTTTCATTCCGGAGGTCAAGCGGTACCTCAAAGAGAAAGGACTTGACTTTAAAGTGTTGCTGATCGTAGACAATGCTCCTGGCCACCCCGAGGCACTCCGCTTTGCGCATAATGACGTTGAAGTCGTCTTTCTCCCCCCCAATACCACCGCCATCCTCCAACCTTTCGACTAAGGCGTGATTCGCTGTTTCAAGGCCACATACACGAGGCTTACGTTCTCATGGATATGTAGCGCTATGGATGCTGATCCCAATCTTAATGTGATGGAGTGCTGGAAGTCCTTCAACATTGCCAATTGCATCACTTATATTAAACAGGCAATGGATGCAATAAAGCCTGAAACAATCAATGCATGTTGGCGAAACCTATGGAAAGAATGTGTGAATGATTTTAAGGGTTTCCTGACCATTGACAAAGAAGTGAAACACATTGTTCAGGTAGCCAGGCAAGTGGGTGGTGATGGCTTTGTCGACATCCTTGAGGAAGAAATTGAAGAATTAATTGAGAGCCATAGAGAAACACTGACTAACGAAGAGTTAGAGGAACTGATAAAATCGTCTACAGAAGAGGAAGATGATGATGACGAACAGGAAGAGCCAGCAAGTTGGAATCTTCATAAATTTGCTGAAGTGTTCCAAGCAGCGAAACACTTGAATGATTTAATTTCTGAATACGATCCCTCTATGGAACAAAGCCTCAAAATCACACGTAGTATTACGGACAATTTGAGACAGTATCAAGAAATGTTTGAGCAGCTCAAGAGACAACAGCGACAGTTGCCGATCACCATGTTTTTCAAGAAAAAACAACCAGCAGCAGATGAGCCTGGCCCATCGTCTCCTGGATCGACATCAAGCCCTGACGACCCCCCAATAGTGTCATCGTCGTCGTAGACTAGCAAAAATATCCAGGATGAATGGTGAGTGGTTAGGTTTACTGTTTTCCTTTTTTATTCTTTCATTCTTCCATCTCTCTCTCTCTGCACCACCACCACCAGTTTAGGATCACACTAAACTTGGTTTCTGCCTTGCACCTTTCCTCTGCTCACAACCTACCTTTTTAGAAATGAATTTAAAAAAAAACAAAAAAAACACAGAAAATGTTCTCTTAAAATAACTGAGTAAAATTCTGAAAGTAACCTCTGTTCATGACCTTTGGAACATCATTTGAGAGAAGTCGGTCATTAAAACAGTTCCGTATTTCCTTTCTGTAGAAAATATGACATTTGACAATCACAGAACGTAGAACAGTTTAAAAATTACTGATAATACAGTAACGTGGAGTACAAACAGCAGGTCAGGTTCATCAGAGATTCACATTATTAGCATGAGTCATAATTTAAAATTAACATAATATCATATACCCCTAATATATGCACTGCAGCTCCCCACGTCATTGCCAACAGGTAAAATGGCCTCCTGTTTTTAAGAACACTAACCTTTTTGCAGATGGCCACTCTAACATTTATATCTGCTCTATGAGACAGGTGCACCACAGCTATGAGGTCTCTGTAATTCACAACAGGATCTGCAGGGTGGGAATACAAACAAACAGACATCATACGAGCAGGGGAAAAAATGAAAAAAAACCTTTGAGGCCATCTTTATACATCAAGGATTAGTAAATGGGACAAATGTAAGTTTGTTTTGCAGCTCACCTTTAAGAAATTATGTTTAAACACTAAGTAAATTGAAACCATCAGCATAAATGTGTTAACCTGGAGCACATTTAGAATAGAATAACTTTACTAAGTAGATTGGTTTTCATCACCACTATACAGACTAGGGGGTGGAGGCTTAAAATAAATAAGGGAATAATTCATAATCAAACATTTTTGTCTTAAAAAAAAAAATCCAGCAGGGATTTAATACTAGTAGGCAATCTGTCAATGTGTCTTGGATTACCTGCATACAGAATTTGGTTAAGAAGATTTTTAATAAGAGAAATGGTAACTGGGGATTCATTCAGAAGGAGCCCTAGCCCAGAGTATCCCACGTCTCTGAGTCTCATACGTTGTTTACTCCGTTCATAGACTTTAGTACATTTCAGCATCTGCTCTACAATCTGCGAAGAAAGATCACATAAATCACATACGTACAGAAAATTACACATGCCTTCTATATACAAATACCAAGCAATCTTATTAATAGAGTCTGAATTATAATTTGTCTGTGCATAATTTTTTAAAGAAATATGCCCCCAAAACATAAATACTAATACAAACATTAAAGATCAAAGAGCACCTGCCTTTAAGATACCAAATCTTCAAATATTCTACTTCACTGGAAGACAGCAGTTTCCATTATGAAAAGTACAGTAAGTAGCAACTGTGAAGAATTTATAATTTCTAGTCTGCGTACTACTACTAAAGAATAACTATAAGCAGGTTCGCTAAATTAATATATTCTACATAAATTTGTATCCATTTTAAAACAGGGTTTAACTGCCAAAGATATTTCAAGATGAAAGAGATCATACATTTGCAAAAGTTACCATTAAAGAACTTATACTAAATGTATTACCTTGAAAACAAGTTCCCTTAGCCTGTCAGAATATCTCTGATTCAGTAACAGAGCATAGAGAATATCAGCATTTCCTGGTTCAAAAAGCAACAAGAAAAGCTGGTCCCGGGTTGGGCTTGTATGAAGTAGGCTGAAGAGTATATCAAGAATCCCACAGAGCTATGAAATAAAAACACACACCTAAATAAAACCCATAATCCATGTAACCATGACTATAATGCCCAACTCAAGGGGAAACATCCTATTTTCCCTCTAAATACAGCATCTTACATCACATTTTCAGAATAGTCTCAATGCCCCTTTCAACCATATTATATTTACAATCAGCTTTAGTGTCTGTAAAGCTGTTCCTAAATATATACACACACATGCACAGAGGGCACTTGCATAAAACTGTAAACAAAATAGGCTTAAACTGAGCATTTGTCATTACTTGTATTACCATAGAGCCTAGTGGCCCTAGGACCCAATTGTACTAGGTGCTGTACAAACAAACACAGAAGAGAGGAACTCCAGACAGTGATTATAAACAATTTGCTCAATGAGCTTCGAGATGAAAGCGAGAAGGGAGATAGGGCTTTGGAGAGGCAAGTGAAGGTGAAGAGTAGATATTTTTACAATGGGAAAGACTAAAGCGTGTTTGTATTGAGAGACGAAAGAGCCAAAGAAGAGTGAGAGATTAAGGAGAAGAGTAAAACAGGGAATGAGAGTGGGCACAAGGGAGATCAGGAGATGGGACGGATCACTGGGACAAGTGGAGGCATTAGACAAGGAGAGCAGATGAGAAACTTCTGCATCAGTAATCAGCCAAGGGGAAGGTGAAGGTCACATCATCTTGTCAACTTTCTCTTGAAAGAATCCTGTGCAGAAAGAGAAATGGTGGCAAGAAGAGGGGAAGGGAGGGTTTGAGGAGTGAGTCAAAAGGTGGCTAAAAAGTCAGTTGGGATTGTGGGTATGAGATTCAATTAAGTTGGTGAAGAAGACTTTAGCTAGGAAGATGGCAGAACTGGAAGAAAAGAAAACAGATTTGTAATGGAGGAAGTCAGCCTGGTCACAGGACTTTTGCCAGCAACGCTACACAGCACAAGAGCAGAAATGTAGGAAGCAGACACTGGGAAGGAACCAGGGTAGACCTTGTGATGGGAGAGAGGGAAAAAGAGAGTCAAGGGCAGAGGAGAGGGAGAATGGAGAGAACCAACCACCATATCAATGGAATATAAACAGAAAAATAAATCATTACAACTTTAGAGCAATGAAGTCCAATTATCTCCATTTTATGCAGGCTTAGAAAAATACTGATATCCAATCACACTGCATTTTACCCAACTCGCATGCTTACCAGAGAAAAAGGAATAGGATCATCAGTTAAAGTATTGCCCATTGCACAGTCCCCTATGCAGTTCTACAACGGGCTTAATTCTATTGCCTGTCACAACTACAAAGTAGTAACATATATGCTGCATTAGATTTTGCTTGCATCTTTTTTTGTCTCTTTCTTTCATCAAAGCTATGGTCAAAACTCCTAAACACTAAAAGGTAGGAAGCAACTGCAGATGTTCACTATTGCCATATTAAATACCTGTTCCTCTTCACTGGTCACAGCTATATATCCCATGATGCTCTGTATTTCTTCATGTGTCCCACCTTTGCTTAGGAAATATTTGATCAGTCCATATAGGAATGTTTGTATTGTTCTGAGGTCATCTGGAGCTAAGTCACTGTCTTTACAGCCACTACTAACACAGACAAGGAAAAAAGGTCAGTAAAAAAAAAAAAAAAATTCTTGCATTACACAATTTATGATTTATAAATATCACTCTGCTAATACTTCCACTACTTGTTTTAGTAACCCTGCTATCTTATCCTTGGAGTGATATTCAAGATGACAAAGTGGGAGTAGCCTAAAACAGAACTGGGTTTTGGAGCCTGATAAACCCCCAGATGTGGATCTAAACCTGATTTGGTGACTTACTATTTTTACTAAGCATTTTTATTATGGTAGTGCCTAACGGGCAACCAAAAATAGGGCCCCGTTATGCTAGGGAGTAGATGGTCCTTGTCTGAAAGAGCTTACGATCTAAATAGAAATGTAAAAGCATTTCAATTTTCATTTTTATAAATAAATCTCTAGCCATTTTCCTTGAAGACACCATTGAAAATTACAAGCAGATATAAATTGATGTAAGCCTATCACACTAAGGGTGAAAGCTTGTCCTGAAGATCCCAAAGAAGTGGGTATTCACCCACGAAAGCTCATGCTCCTATACGTCTGTTAGTCTATACGGTGCCACAGGACTCTTTGCTGCTTTAAAAAAAAAAACGGTGTCCGGAATTCCGCCTCTGAAATTCTGCCGCCCCAAGCACGTGCTTGGTTTGCTGGTGCCTAGAGCTGGCCCCGGAGCTTGCTACAGTCTAGTTCTAAGACAGGGGTCAAGGGAAAGTAGTAATTTAGGCAAAGGAGAATTAAACTCAAAAACTTGATGAGCTCTCACTTTTAATTCATGTTTTCTGCCTGGTCTTTTGTGAAAAAGGTAACAATAGCATACAACAAATTAAGGAGCATAAACCTCATACCCATAATAAATCCTGAGTGTGTCTAGTAGAAACTGCACTCCATACTTCTTTCTGAAGAGCCTCCTGCTGTCTTTGATGATTGTGGAAAGGTACTGTATATGTCCTAAGATACAAAGCTTTCCATTAGAACCTAGACAGGGATTTATGAAGAGCAAAGGTACTGTGTTTTAGCATAACTATCTCAAGTTGTATGATCTCACCAATCCGGAAAGGGAAGTCTCCACGGTTCCAGATACTAAAGTCAAAAAGTAAATGTTGATACATCTGTTGCAAAAGTTGCACATTTTTTTCCACAGAGACCTGTTCTATCAATAACTGCAGAGCCATCAGTACATTCACATCCATCAAGCTGCCTGGCACCTAAAATTCAAACAGACGGGTACAGGGGATATAATAGTAAGTTATTTAATGCGCAGCATATGCATTTTCTATTAAACTGATATTTAAAATCAGATCGACTCCCTAGTCTTGCACAACAATACAGTATTTGCTTTCCTTACAACAACTCTGTTAAACCAAACAGCTGTTTGAAATAATTCAATAATTTGTCATCTGAATTAAAGATTTTTGACAGAAATTTTTATCTGATTTTTGTTCTAGTTTAAATAGTTGAACTGTGAAATCTATAACAAACACAGCAAAACATAAGAATGGCCATACTGCGCCAGACTAAATGTCCAAATGGCCTAGTATCCTGTCTTCCAACAGTGTCCAGTGCCAGATGATTCAGAGGGAGTGAACAGAACACTATGACTAGGAGTCATCAATGTGATTGGGCCATGAAAAATTGCTAATGCAATCCCAGGATACATCAGGAGAGATAGGGAAGTGTTGTTATCATTATCCAAGGCATTGGTGAGATCTCATCTAGAATACTGTGTGCAGTTCTAGTCTCCCATGTTTAAGATGAATGCAAACTGGAACAGGTGTACAGAAGGGCTACAAGGATGATCAGACGAATAGAGAACCTACCTTACAAAAGGAGACGTAAGGAGGTTGGGCTTGTTTAGCCTAACCAAGCGAAGGCTGAGTGAAGATATGATTGCTCTATATGAATGCATCAGAGGGATAAACATCAGGGAGGGAGCGGAGTTATGTTAAGGGCTAAAGTTGGCCCAAGAATAAATGCATATAAAACTGGCCATCAACAAGTTTAGGCTTGAAATTAGATGATGATTTCTAATCATTAGAAGAGTGAAGTTCTGGATCAGACTCCCCAGGGGAGCAGTGGGGGCAAAAAGCTTAACTGGTTTTAAGACTGAATTTGATAAGTTTATGGAGAGGATGGTATGATGAGATTGCCTACAAGGGCACGTGGCCCATTTGTGACTGCTAGTAGCAAATATCTCCAATGGGTGGAGATGGGACACTAGATGGGGAAGGCTCTGAGTTACCCGGGAAAGCATTCACTGTAATGTCTGGCTGGTGGATCTAACTGATTGCCTTATTTGGGGTCAGGAAGTAATTTCCCCCCAAATCAGACTCGCAGAGACCCTGGGCAGTTTTCACCTTCCTCTGCAGCATAGGGCACAGGTCACTTGCTGGTTTGAACTAGAGTAAATGGTGGATTCTCTGTAACTTGAAGTCTTTAAATCATGATTTAAAAACTTCACTAACTCAGACAGAGGTTATGGGTCTATTACAGGAGTGGGTGGGTGGGGTTCTGTGGCCTGCAATGTACAGGTCAGACTAGATGATCAAGACGGTCTCTTCTCGCCTTAAAGTCTATGAATTATCAAGTGATCCATATTGTTCAGTCCCACCTTCTGGCACTCAGAGGCTTATGGACACCAGGAGCATGGGGTACATCCCTGACCATCTTGGATCATAGCCATTGACAGACCTATCCTCCATTAACTTATCTAATTCTTTTTTTTAACCCAGTGATACTTTTGGCCTTCACAACATCCCTTGGCAATGAGTTCTACAGGTTGACTATGTGTTGTGTAAAAAAATACTGCCTTATGTTTGTTTTAAACCTGCCGCCTATTAATTTCATTGGGTGACTCCTGGTTTTTGTGTTACATTAAGATGTAAATAACACTTCCTTATTCACTTTCTCCACACCATTCATGATTTTATAGTCCTCTATCATATCCCATCCTCTAGTCATCTCTTTTCTAAGCCGCACAGTCCCAGTCATTTTAATCTCTCCTCAAATGGAAGCATCTGTCTTATTTCCTATCCCTTTCCTAATGGTTCCTAACATTCTATTCGCTTTTTTGACTGCTGCTGCACGTTGAGTGGATGTTTTCAGAGAACTATCCACAATGACTCCACAATATTTTTCTTGAGTGGTAACAGCTAATTTAAGTCCCTAATTGTGTATGTACAGTTGGGATTATGTTTTCCAATGTGCATTACTTTGCATTTATCAACATTGAATTTCATCTTCCATTTTGTTGCCCAGTCACCCAGTTTTATGAGATCCCTTTGTATCTCTTCACAGTTTGTTTTGGACTGAACTATCTTGAGTAATTTAGTATTGTCTGCAAACTTTGCCACCTCAATGTTTACCGCTTTTTCCAAATTATGTATGAATACGTTGAACAGCATTGGTCCCAGTACATATCCTTAAAACATAAGTAGACAAAGTTTCACAAGAATCATAATATCTTGTTTTCAGAAATCTACAAGAATGTATAAATACTATACTAGTCTATGTATTGTATCTGTACATATGCAAGACAGAAGGGAAGTACAAAGTTAGTTATGCTAACTCTATGTTCCTATGCACCAGCAAGCACAGATACTCGCTTGACAATAGTCTGAACCTCAGAAAACGTTTGACATTTAGAATGAAACCATGGCCTAATGGATTTCAGTGGAATCAGGATTTCACCCATAACACTGATTACATGAGAAATAACTTCTCACCTTCTGTAACAAGGCTCCTAGGGTAGCAACTCCGTGGGAGTGAATGAGATTATCTTGGTTAATAGGGTGTCTTTGAATAAAGTGCTTTATCATCAAGATGAAAGTTGCAACAATATTCTTCTCTAGACGAGCCTCTGCAAAACAGATTGTTCAGTTAAAACCCTTTTTTTTATCATTTCATTATTGTGTCAAATTAGGAGGAATAAGAAGTGAAATCAAGTGTTTTTATTCTCCACTATTTTCCTGAGCTTCCTCTCTCCACTGATATTTGCTACCTTGCTGTAGATGGTGTTTAGATCCTGTGATGCTGAGGCAAAGTCATTATACGCTTCCCCAGACCAAAGCAAATGCCAGTCGTGACTTCAGCTGCTTTGTCCATTCACCTGTGGCACTGGACAAGATACTCTTCTCTAAGCCACAACCTGGATCGTCTTTTGCATGTTCTGCACTTGCTCTACACACACATTTCTTCCTCTTTCCCCACATCCGGATATGCCTATCATATCTAGAACTACTTTAAATTAGGAGGGAGAAATAATGAAGCAAAATCAAAAGTTGTATCATATTCCTTCACAAGTCTTAATTTCTAAGAGGCTTCTGCTAAGATTACAAGAATTCTCTTCAAGCTGTTAATTCAGCACAGCTGAAGAGCTATTTAAAAATAGTTTTCTTAAAATTTAAAGAGGGAAATCTATGGTTTCATATGGGTTTTTTTTAAAGCATATTCATAAATTACTAAGAACTTCAGTAATTTAACTAAAATTCTGCAGGCTACTGGTTTGTAACATGAAATACTACATTATCTCCCAGATTCAGGGCCCACTGAAACAATGGGAAAATGTGCCATTGACTTCAGTGGGTTTTGGATCAGGCCCTTTTTTATTTTTCTAGATATGCAAAAGAACCACTTGACTTAGAAATAAATGTGCACATTTTGACTCAGTACATAAAGTTAATACAGCAAAATACTGCTATTAAATTCATTCTATGAATGTGTCCTGTGTGTTCTTGAAGTTAATTTTAAACAGTGCTGAAATCCTATCTTATTAGATGTCCAACTCAGAGTAAAAATAGTTTATTAAAATTGCATGGCTACTATAATAGAGTTAATATGTAATCATATAAACCAATTCTTTCCACTGTTGTAGTCCTCTGTTTTTATTAAACCTTTAACTTCAATATGGTTAATATCTCAAATCTATAGTACTTTCCTACCTGAAGCCTTTGTGGATGATAACACCACCCAGTCTCCCTCTATTGGAGTCACCAGTTCCTGAGGTATAGTTTCCCCTTCAGACTTCTCAGGCACCTGTCCACTGAGAAAACTGATCTGCTCCAGTAGTGGAAACAGCACATTCAATCCACCAATACAATTTATCATATCCTATAGGGAGGAGGAGAGAGAAAGCATGCACAAATTTGTAGGGTTTTTGTTGTTGTTTTTTTAATGTAAAAGAAATACCTATTTAATATTTAATGTAAAAGAAATAAGAAGGGCACTTATGTACTTATGAGTTAATCAGAATTCCATGTCACTTGGAAACTAGTTAAAAAGAACAGTAACAACTTCACAACAGTTTTAAAAGTAGGTTTAAAGGTGTTTCAGACAACAATTGTTTGCAAGTCTTTCAGCTAACTTCTGTGGTTTTACAACAATTTGTTTTTTCTCTCCTCTGTTGCTGCATGAAACACCTGCACAAATAACATGGGAAACTCACTCTAAGTGAAATAGACAACATGACAGAAAATACTGTCAAATACATATACTGGAGAACCAGAAAGAAATGTACTCTCTCTTCTGATCTCTTTGAATTAACACTAAAAAGTATATTAAAAAGTTTAGATACATGTGAATTTTAGTTTAATAGTGTCCCTATAAAAAGTCTCTGCTTCAGAAAGTTTAAATACAAATAAAATGATAACGCAAATTATTTCATTTGCTGAGTAATGTTAATGAAACCTATATTCCTTTACTACTCCTTTACTATCTCCTAAAATTCATCATCCTTTGTACACTAATAGGGAATTTGACAAATTCAATAAGTGGTTAGCAAGCTAGCCAGGGATACCTGTTATGCTCTCAGTGCATTGAAAACTGAAGTGTATCAGAGTTCTTTAATAAATTGCACGAATGGTCATAATTGAAAAACTAATTTTGAAGAGAGATTTCACAGCACATACCATATCTACAGACTAAAAAGAATTATTTTAAATTTATGTCATGATTATTTTGGGTCTATACTGTATTCTTAATTTTAAGCTCTTGGACAAAGGGCCAACCTCCACATTCTCTCATACGCAGACATCTCAGGTGAACAAACAATAAAACAAAAACCACCAAAAACTATGTGGGTATTCCCCCACTTCTTCCTTTTGGGTACTGGGAAGGGGACACCACTCTCCTTCTCCAACGTTTACCTCCCCATCTCTCTCATTACTATCTCCTTCCACTGCTTCGCTCCACCCCATACCTCTTCACAACACCTCTCTCTTCAGCCTGCAGAATCCCTCTCCTGCAGGCCCTTGTCAAGTTTTTTTCACACCTAATGTATCTCTCCAATAGGCCCTTGCTGTCTCTGTGAGAACAAAACAGGAAGCACCTCTCAGAGGCAGTGCAGAGATATGTTACATAGGGACAAACACAAGCCAGCTAGTTAACATGCAGAACACTTGTCTGAAGTCTGAGACTGCTATCTCGTTTCTCTTTAACCCTGCAGAATTCTTAGACATTGCCCCCACCAGCACCTATGCAGTGTCTTCATTATGGGGCTTCTAAAGACCACAATTGGGGGTGGGGGGCCGCTGGCTCCTGACACTCCCATAATGAGCTCTTCACACTTTCTGCTGAGCAACTAGTAAATGTTCCTACACTTTCTGGAAGCGTATCAGTCAACTAACACAAAGCCTATTCTCCTACAATGTTCACTTTGAGAGAGAGAGTGTGAGTATCAGTACAGAATAGCTGTCATTAAATGTACACTATTACTGACACAGGGAGTCTTTCACAAGAGTCTGAACTTCATGCTCACTGCAGACAGCTCCCATTTATTTGTGCATATATTAGTCCTCAACTATAGTCTTCTACTACAAATTCCCTACACTCACAACTCAGGTCAACCCCACTTCAAAAGACGGTTACCTTTTGTAACTTGTTCTTCGAGATGTGTTGCTTATGTCCATTCCATTGTAGGTGTGTGCGCTCGCCACATGCACCGGTGCCCGAAGTTTTTCCCTCAGTGGTATCCGTAGGGGACCGGCTCTGGCTCAAGCTCCTTTTGAGACCATAACCCTTGAGTCTGCAGTGTATCGAGATGCACTCCCCAACCGAGGTCAGACAGGGAGACAGTGGTTGCGGGCTCACGAACAGCACACCTTCCAACACCAGAATCAGGTCAGACCCTTTTGGGAAGGGATCCCAGTCTGTCTCCAGTACCACGGGGTACAGTAACTCCTCTACTACCCCAATCCGTTACCAGGCAAATCTGCCCCTTACTTCTAGGGGCACCTGGGCCACGGGGCAGGGCTTCCAATCCCCTTGGATGCATTCCAGCTTCATCCTTGCCCCGGGGATAAACCAATGTGGCTTCACCAGCCCCCTCTGAATGAGCGAGTGGGCCAAGGCCGTGTCCCCCGAGCCCATCTGGGTCTTCCTCCTCACCTGCACGGGGATGGTGACCAGCCCTCGCTCCTTTTTCCACCCTCCAACCTCAGTCCAGCTGCAAAACTTGGCTAGGCCACATTCCATCTCCGGCAGTCCCTACATTTATGTCCTGGCCGTCCACATCGCCAGCATACAAGCTGCTCCGGGAGACTAGGGGCTCCCTTGGTCTCCTCCTCCTTCTTCTTCTCTGGGCTTCTCCCAGGGGACGGGGGTTCTCAAGGCTTCCTCCCCCACTCTAGGTCTCGGCATGTCCTACCCTCCTTTTGAGGAAAAATTCACCTCCGCATATTCTGTCAATTTAACAGCGGCCTCTACCGTGTTTGGCTGGTGTCGCCGGACCCAGACTTGCATAGTCTCTTAGAGGCCCTGTAGAACTGCGTAAGGATCACCTTTTCCATGATTTCCCCCACCATTTGGGTGTCCAGCCAACACGTGGCCCAGTCCGTCAACTTCCAGGCAAAGGTTTGGGACCTCAAACCCCCATCCACCGGGCCAACCTTCACCGTATCATAACCCTTGACCTGTTCATTGTTTAGCGCCATATAAGCAGCCTGCACCTTGCCAGCCAGATAGGGGGCCAGTCATAGGGCCCAGGTTGCCCTATCCCATACAGTGCCCATGGCCACCCGCTCAAACGTATAAAGGAAGGCATCGGGCTCATCGGTGGGGCCCATCTTACATAGGACTAGCCCTGGCGCGCGGGTGCCATCTCCTCCCGGGGGCCTCACCAGCTTTTGCAGGAGCTGCTGCTGCACATTGGCCTGCTCTCTGATAAAGTCCTGGAGAGTCTTCTGCTGTCCGGCATGTCAGGTGAGTAAGGCCTGCCTCTCCACCTGGTGGGATTGCTGGAAGGCCTGCAGTGCTTTCTGCATCTCCTCCTGCTGCTTGCTTAGCCACTGCAAGGTTCCCTCCATCTTCGGATTGCCACGCCCTGGCGGTGGCTTGTAGTCCTGGAGAAGCCCCCACGTGTAACGGGGTCCATGTGCGCCCCTGGGTATTCGGCCCCTTGGCCTCCCTCTTCAACGAGTCAGGGACACTTCAGTCTGGTGCAACACCATGCTCTTTATTCTCAGTAGATTTCCCACCATGAGTTCCCAACTGTATACAGGCTTCACAGCTACTTTGCCTACAACAGGCTTAGCCCGCAACAGACTAGGAGACACCCACCTCCTTCTGTGCTTGACTTTTCTCTTTCCATTTCCCCCCCATTCTCTGGCTTCCTCCCAGCCTTTATAGCTCTGGGCTAATAAGACTGGCTGGTGCGGCCAGTTACCAGGCAGGCACCGGGCTATTCACCCAGCTCCAATCTATTCCCCTTGATCGGGGCTGGAGTGGCAGGAGCTGACTAAGGGCTTCTCAACCAGCACCCTCCCACAAGCTGGTACCGGGCATGAGGATTGGCGCCGGTTGGAGGTTGGTGCCGGCAGTGTGCTCTGGACCAAGCCGCAGTGCTTGGAGCAGAGTGCAATCTTGTTGGTTCTGAGGCCGGTGCAAGGGCCGACTCCATAAGGAGCACTCGGAGATGAATGTCCCGCTTCTTTTTAGTCCGTAGCCTGAAGCTCTTGCAAATGTGACACTTGTTTCCCCTAAACACTTCAGGCAGCTTCTACGGGGATCACTGACTACCATATGTTTTTTCAACAGTCACAAGGTTTGAAGCCCGGGGACCGAGGCATGCCCCGTACCTAGGCCTAGTCCCGTACAGGACTAACTAACTATTTCTAACTTAACACTAAGGGAACTATTAACTAAACTACTTTATAAAACAAATTCACTACTAGACACAGTAGAGACAGAAAAGCTTGCTGAAACAAGGAGACGTTCCAGCACCATCACTGGCAGTAAGAAGAAACTGAGGGAGAGGGGAGCCGATGGCGACCCTTATACCAGCACATACGCGCACCACTCCAGAGGGTGCCAGAGCTGATCCCCTATGGATACTACTCAGGGAAAAACTTCTGGCACTGCTGCATGTGGCAAGCACACACACTTATAATGGAATGGACATGAGCAAGCACTCAAAGAAGAAAAAAATATTTTGTACCTGAGGATTCCAGCTTGGTAATTCATTTCAATTTGTACACAAGTAAGTGAGCCCTAGCCTAGATGATACTTTTGGGTCAAAGTCAGACCTGGAAATCAATGTTGCTCCTATATACACTAGGTCTGAGTCTGATCTTTGAGATTAGTGTGTGCGAATGAGTTGGCAGATGGGTGAGTTAGTGAATAAACAGGTAAACAGTGACATAATAGACTAAGCTGGTGCACACTCAGTGAATCTCTTCCTCTCTCCATGAATCTGCAAGAACTAAATCGTTAGAGTATTTTTGGGGAAGTGGGAACATGAGAGAAACATTGGCCTAAATGGAGGACTAGGAAAATTAATTAACTGATGTTTGTTCAACACTTTGAAGATTTAGGGTGAAAAAGGTAGACGTCATAAAATGCTTTCAAAATATAAAACGTATTACTTGCAGTACCACAAAACTTTTTAATATTTTAATTTTAAGTTTGTTTTGAAACATTATCTATGACGGTGTTAGCCTGACTCCACTTTCCCAAAATTTACTTTGACACCACCACAACCCTAAAATTAGCTTAATTCACTTGAAAACACTGCTATACGTGGTGTTGCTCCTGCACAATGGGAACGTCTAGCACTCCTTAAGCATTCAGTATACGATAACTACTTTGTATTTACATCAGATTGTGATGATTTAATATTAATTTACCTTGATGTCCCAGTTCACTACTTTGTTTCCAGTTAGTCTTCCATGTAAAAGATTTGTGGACAGGTCCAGGCAGATTGGGTTTCTGCAGGCCTAAAAAAGGAAGAAAATATGAGCTTCAGCATTACTTCTGAAACATATTCAGGGTCACTGAATTACCTGTATAAATTTACATAAGAGTGCATGGCATACTGAGCTAAGGCAGGAAACAGCATTGCGGTGATACTAATGGCAAGATTTCAACAATGTGGGATACCCAGAATACATTTCCTAATATCTTGGATTCACTATTCACAATTTCACCACTTACAGCATTCTTGGCCTTTTGGTAGAATGAGAAATAAAATACACAAATCTATAGTTTAGTTATGGACAGTGCAAGGCCACACTACTCATGTCAGTGGAAATTAGTTAGATTATCAACTTGTCCTTCAGGAGAGAGTGCTGACTCATACTAAGTGAGGCATTAACACGGGTGCCAGGAGATAGTTTATTCAACCATTCTAACCAAAAAGTAAATGCACAGAAAAAGCTACCAACCCTAAAAGGGTGGGAAACAAAACACACCATATTTCAGTAAAAGCAGGAGGGCGAGAATAACAGGCTCACAACACTCACACTCTGATACCACCCCAAAGGGCCATCCAGCTGTGGTTCTTTAAGTTTTATTCCACAATATCATGTCAAATGACCTCACCCCACATTAAGCAGTGGGGGCCATTGTCTGGCTTGTAGGAAAAGGTGTGTGATCCCTTTAAAGGCTAGATAGCCAGAGTGCTGCAGCTTCAGACCAGGTTAGTGTGGGGACGGTGACCCATCCCCCACCCCAGGTGACTGGAAGGAAGCGGGGACTATTTAGGTCCACCCCAGTGCAGGAAAAGCCCTCCTTTAACTGGACCAGCTGTGCAGCAGGAACAGCTGCATAAACTTCACTCTCTGGTGGCTCCACATGGTAGCAGACTGGTGAGAACAGGGAGGTGGAGGGGGGAGGAGTCCTCCCTCCAACCTGCAGCAGGAGAAGCAAGTGTTTTGTAACAAAAGGGGAAGAAATTTCAAACTCATTAGAGCAGGGCTCTAGCAGATTTGTGAGAACAGGAGGAGCGAAGGTGTCCCCCCCCCGCCTTCCAGCCAGGGATGGAAGTTCCAAACCCAGTTCAGGGTGCACAGAGTGGGGCTTGAGAGACCATGGGAGTCCGGGGATGTGGGATCTTCACTGCACGGGCAAGGAGTGGAGTAGGTGGTTCCCAGCGTGGTCTGTCTACCAAATGGATTCCCCTCTGCTGGGAAGTAACATGGATCCTGGGGAAGCAAACACTCCCCGTGGTGAACTAGCTGCATTTGGGGGTGGGGTAGCCAACAGAGAATTGATTCAAGCCATCTGGGTAGTTGCTTCCAAAATTATTTCCATAGCACTACAAGGCTTACAAGGTGTAGTGGGTCACCCACAGCCAGGACATTTGAACAAACAGATTGCAGGACAGGAGAATGACAAGGCTGGTAGCACTAGAGTGTGACCAGCACCAGATGGAGGTTGCAGAGGCAGGGCATGAAAGGGAGTTCTTTCTGTCCAATACTGCAATGGGTATCCATTAGGGCTGTCAAACAATTAAAAATATTAATTGCAATTAATCGGGAGATTAAAAAAATAATCACGATTAATCACAGTTTTAATCACACTGTTAAACAATAATAGAATACCATTTATTTAAATATTTTGGATGTTTTCTACATTTTCAAATATTTTGATTTAAATTATTCCACAGAATACAAAGTGTACAGTGCTCACTTTATTTATTTTTTAATTAAAAAAGATAAACTAAAGAAATAGTATTTTTCAATTCACCTCATATAAGTACTGTAGTGCAATCTCTTTATTGTGAAAGTGCACTACAGGATGGGGAATTACAGGTAGGACCCCATAAATGTAAACAAACTTGTTTGTCTTAGCAATCGGCTGAACAAGAAATAGGACTGAGTGGACTTGTAGGCTCTAAAGTTTTACATTGTTTTATCTTTGAGTGCAGTTTATGTAACAAAAACAAATCTACATTTGTAAGTTGCACAGTCAGGGAGGCATTTCCGGTAGCGTTTTTTGGAGCTTTAGGATCAGCCAACTAGTACTTGAGTCCTGTAGGGATTCTTCTGGAAGGGCTTTAGAATTGAAGGATATATACTGGGAGGGGCAATCGGTGATATTAACTTTGAAGATGTCAAAGGCAGATCAAGGAGGCCAGGGTGAATTCATTATGGTGAGCCTGGGATCTGCAGAGTGGAGGCTGTGAGGGCATACATGGCAATAAGGCCAGGAAAGAAGGGTCCTCTTGATTCAGGACAATGGGAATCCCCTCACAACATACTAGTTTGTTACAGTTTTAAGATGGGGTCTGACAGGGTTGGGGCTTTAGCACATGAATTGGTTCCCACTCATTCAGGATCAGGGTGGTAACAGTAATGGCCCAGCTAGGTCTGGGGGCTAGTGCAATTCAGGCAATTGGGTGTAGGCATTCTGAAGCAAAAAGAATGTATGTGAGACCCCAGGTGGGGAATCAGTGTTAATTTTCCCTTATGTCTGTATTCCAGACACTGGCAGGCCAGGCAGACAGCGGTGTAGATCTGTGGGCACAGTATTGTTTACTGGGCACACATGCAGGCTTCCAGGTTGTCTGGAGGTTTGCTGCTGCACATCAGTGGTGAGGCAATCCTGAGCTGGCAGGGGAGCATGTTATGGGACCAGCTGATGGCCCATCTGTACACTGTGATGGCCTCTGAGCAGGAAACAAATAAGAACATAAGAATGGCCATTCTGGGTCAGACCAAAGGTCCATCTAGCCCAGTATCCTATCTTCCAACAGTGGCCAAATCCAGGTGCCCCAGAGGGAATGAACAGAACAGGTAATCATCAAGTGCTCACTCCCCTGTCGTCCATTCCCAGCTTCTGGCAAACAGATATGATTGTGGTTCACCTTGGGGAAAATTATTAGGGAATGCGTAAAAGGGTGGACTTATTGATCAGAGCTAAAAGGGACTTGGGGCAGATCCTGGAATTTTTACTCGAGGGAAAAGATATCTGGTCTGACACATTGCAACGCAGGGTGTGGCGGGGAGCTGTGAAGCCCCCTCAGGTTGACAAGTCTAGGAGGTATGTGAATAGGGAGGTGGCCAAATCCATAGTGGCACTGGGGGTGGGGGGTCAGTAATTTCTCATCTGGACTTAGCATAGGGGGCATCAGAATGATTCAGGGAGGACAGGGTCTACCCTATTAGACTTGGGAGCTGACAAGTTTTTGGCCAATATTAAAGAGGACATTAGTAGATGTCTGGGAGCCTGGCTAGGTATGCGGGGGGAAGCAGACAAGCTAATTGCTGGAGCCTCCTTGTGGCAGATATCCAGTGCAGATTCTCCATGGAGAAAGGATGTGGTGATCAGATACAATGGATTGGTAAAGGATTTAAAAGAGGTATTCTTTAAAGGAGCAGAAATAGGAATTTCGGGGCTATGACTGGTTTGTCAGCGAGCCAACCCTCTCTCCTTTATAGCTCCCATCCCCCAACCTCACTTGATGGGTGCGGCTGACAGCACTCCGCCCGTGTATATGTAAATTGTTATGGAATTACTTGCACTGTACACTTTTAACTGCTGGGTACTCACAGACATTTAGGAATAAAGTTGTGGCCTAATTAAACCACAGCCAGTGTCTCCTGTCCTTCTTCCGGCATAGCCGGACAACATCACTTTAAGGAATAAAGAAAATTTTGTCCATAAAAGCAAACCTGTTCCATTCTAAAAGTTAAACCAAGTTAATCTGTAGATATTTAAAGCTACTGTTCAGAATGTTTTAACCTTTAGAAAAAACAAACTACTGTAAAGTATGTAAGCAAATGGAAAACATGCTGATTACTACCTTGGGTGTATAGTGAAGAAGCACTTTACTGGGCAGATCTGCCACTTCAGACTCTTGGGATTTCCATGGAGTTAGACAGTTTGGGCCTGTAAAATATTTTATGTACACACTAGATTTAAAGTTTGTGTTAATAAATTTTACTACGCTACACTCTGCTAGAGATACAAATAGGACACCTTGAACTACACATATCCTGACCAAATATTTGACATATCTCCTTAACCAAAAGATTATTTTAAAAAAATAACTCTGTGATTCCATGGGGTTTTACTCTTTACAAATAAACCTCTGGCTAAAAAACAAATTAAGTTATATGAAATGAGATTTGTATGTTCAAAAATTGTCAGTATTTTGTCTTTACAAATATTCCATTTCACACTCAACTGTCATCTCTCCCTAAAGACCATCAGCAGTTAGGAAGATCAGATCCTGAAGACAGCTTTATATACAATTTTTGGTAGTAATAAGACATCATGTAACTCATACACCTAATCTTTTTAAAGATCGTTTTATATACATCATCAAAATGTTCTGGAAAAGATCATCTTTCAATTGCTAATGTAAATCCTAAAGGATTCATAGATTCATAGATTCTAGGACTGGAAGGGACCTCAAGAGGTCATCGAGTCCAGTCCCCTGCCCGCATGGCAGGACCAAATACTGTCTAGACCATCCCTGATAGACATTTATCTAACCTACTCTTAAATATCTCCAGAGATGGAGATTCCACAACCTCCCTAGGCAATTTATTCCAGTGTTTAACCACCCTGACAGTTAGGAACTTTTTCCTAATGTCCAACCTAGACCTCCCTTGGGATGAGCTCCCAAGGCTGAATAATGACTTTTAAGTGGCTTATCTACCACAGCAATACACTTGAATACTCTCACTTACATGCCCATATGTGACAAATAATGTGAAAAGACACTCAAGGTTGCAGAGTTTATACAAGTGGTTCACACTTCAAAGAGCTCAGCCTTTCAAGCCCTTCAGACAAGTTTAGTTTTCTTTTCAAGATCACACAGAAGTATGACTTATTTTTAGGTTTTATTAATTGTTATATAATACATGAGGTTTTTGAAACTGGATCTGGACCAATAATAAAACAGATACTTCAGGACACTGAAAATATCTTTAAAACACATGCAAAAGTAAGATGAAAATCAATATGGACAAAGCTGTGGCCTTTAACTGAATAATTTAATTGCCTAATCTTAATACCCAACTAAAGATTTTTACTCAACTTTTTTAGCTAATGGGCCAAATTCTGCTTTCAGTTTAATTTGTTTAAACCCAGAGTAGCTCCACTGAAGTTAATGGAGATACTTCAGATTTCACTCATGTAAATGAGAGCCCAAATTGGTCGATATCTAAGTTTTTTTAACACCTCTTCAGGATTGGTGGATATAAATTTTTGTGGACCTCTCTGCATGTCTATATATTTGATACATAATAGGGGAATAGGAGAATCTGTGTAAATATAGCAAATATAGTATAACATAAATGTGTACTATAAAAAGATACATTTATTTTGAAGGACATATCTACCAGTTTGGCACAGTGCAAGCTGTGTACTTAGACTGTAAATTCCTTGGGGGCAGGGATCATCTTTTTGTTGTGGTGTTTGTACAGACGTAGCACAATGGGATCCTGGTCCATAGCTAGGCTTGTAGATGTTACCACTATACAACCACCACCAACAACCACTTACCTGCCAAATATAAAGCTTTCACCTGAGAGGGCTGCAGTGATTCATGGAAGATGATAACTGACCCAAGCTGGCCCTCCAGTGATGTTGGACATCCCCATTCGCTGTCCTGGGTACCCGCGGAGATCAACTTGGTGATCAACTCTGACTTCCCAAGCAGTCCGCCCCAACTAGCTGGAGAGAGAATCCCACCTAGAGATGTTCGATGAGGCGTAATAGGGGAGGAGAAGGGTGGGTCCGGTATCTGAGAGGGAGGAGGAGTGGTTGTCCTCTGACCAGCTGAACCAATGCAGCAAGAAGTAAAAGGCTGGAGATGATGGTGTAAGAAAAATAAAAATAAATAAAATAATGTTACAGCCAAATGTCAAACGTCCTTGAGACTTTCACAAAATTAAACATAAAAAATAAGTGAGTTGAACTAAATCTAATAACCTTTCAGAGCAAATCTGCCTTGACTGAGGAAACAGGTGTAGAAAGACAGCAATACATTGTTGGTGTACATTATGCACAAAAAGCACTAGAAAGTGCATACTAATCCTTCTCCAAGCAGGAGTAATTTGTTCCCTGGCCTGTTACTGGCCTCTGCAGGGAGCATCAAGGCTTCTGTCCCAGCAGACCATTTCCCTTGGATCATACTTTAGCAAGATGTATCTTCTACAATAATCTTGTCATATGAAGTATTCTGCTTGATTGCTTGCGCTAATAAAAAGCTTCAGTGCCATCTTCCCATGCCATCTTGTGCAGAAAGAGGTACCCCCCACTCAATGTTTATAAAAGAAGCTGAATGAATGTTTTAGAGTTTCTAAAACTCTCACAGATGCATCAAAAAAATCAACAGTTTTGTCTTACAGTCAGCAGTTATGTTTGCTTTTAATAAGTAAGTACTTGATTCTTCAACCTTTACAGGAAGCATGTAAGTCATGCAAGTAGTCGTAATGAAGTCAGTGGAACTACTCATATGAATATATGCCCCAAACCAAGAAGGATTGCAGAACTGGGGCCTATAAAAATAAAAATAATGATCAGTATCATAACATTGTAACCCAGGTTTAAAACGGACTTGTTCCACAAAAAGGAGCAACCATTTACAACAGCATCCACATATTACGTATAATCATTTTGGCATTTTAGTGGCTTGTGCTTATTAAGGTTAATTTAGTATTTAGCATGTAGAAATGATCAGTTAACAGCACTGAAAAGAAATGTCCATATTAATGTATCCCCTAACCAAATACAGCACAGACAATGTCACATGCAAGATTACTCAAACTTCCTGTGTGCTCTCAAATGTACTGAGAACCACCTCTTAGTGAGACAAGGTAGTTCTCCGCTGTGCATTAACCTACCATCTTCGCTGGCAAGTCTGCCAACAAGGGAGGCAGTTAGTGCTAATTGTGACAGTAGTTTAAAAAAACAAACAAAACAAAAAAAAACCCCAAAAAACACCTCACATAAAAGGAGCTAACACGAGGTTACACAGGCCACTGAATCATCATCAAAAGATCATTCTTGGTCAACATCAAGTCCTCTTCTATTCTGCTGTATTTGAGATGGCCCAAAGAGACATGCTGGGGATGAGCTTAACTATCCTCAACACTTGAAAAATGAAAACAACTGCTAATCAGCTTCTATCATGTTTTTAATCACGGATGACCCATTTTCCCTTTTCATTTTATCTGACTGCCATTTTACAAATCTTTCTTCTGTAAGAAATCCCTAGGATAGTGGTCTGATGGGAAGAAAAGACTTACTTCATTCATGGCAGGAAATCTAAGTGGGGCAGAGATCTTCTGTTGTCCATTGACGTAGATGTAGACAAAGCTTTGACCAAAGGGCCTCTTTCCAGGCATATGAACAATAGTTATGTTGTGCTGGACAGGCAATATAACAGTACAGTTTGATTAGATTCTTATTAAAATGCAGCAAAAGAATTCTGCATATCTGCCCAACATTGCTACCATTAAATGGGTGAAAAAATTACAGCAGACCACAAACTTTTATAGCATCACTGAAAGATTAAATCAAGTATCAATCAATGCCTTCCTTTTTTTAAAAAAAAGTGTACATTACAAAAAGGTTTTTGGGGAAAAAAAAGACATGTGACGCCCTTCATAATAATGCAGTGCAGTCCCTAAATATAGCCTTAGGAATGGGATAGGGCAACAGAGTAACTTATTCACATTTTCTAAGCCTTAGACTTTGAACTAAATTATAGTTTATAAACTTTAGAAGTTCCCGTAACACATCCCACCACTCAGGAGCCATCTAACTGATCCAGCTGCATTTATGTTTCTTCTCTATTTGACGTTTTTTAAGGAGAATTACCATAACACTGACACGGCCCCTTTACAGAGATTGCAGATACAGTAACCATTAGTATGCTTATAAAATTTGTGGATGACACCAAGATGGGAGGGGTTGCAAGCACTCTGGAGGACATAATTAGAATTCAAAAAGAAAGACCTTAACAAATTGGAGAATCAGTCTGAATTCAACATGATGAAATTCAATAAAAACAAGAGCTAAGTACTACACTTAAGAAGGAAAAATCAAATGCACAACTACAAAATGGGAATAACTGGCCAAATGGTAGTACTGCTGAAAAGGATCTGGGGGTTATAGTGGATCACAAATTGAATATGAGTCAACAATGTGATGCAGTTGCAAAAATTAGCAGAACTATTATATTTAATAGGAGGCAATTATCCTGCTCTACTCAGCATTGGTGAGGCCGCAGCTGGAATACTGTGTCCAATTCTGGGCAGTTTAGGAAAGATATGAAGAAATTCGAGTCCAGAGGAAAAGTGATAAAAGGTTTAGGAAACCTGACCTATAAGGAAAGGTTAAAGAAACCTGGCATCTTTAGTCTTACGAAATGAAGATTGAGGGGGGGACCTGTTAACAGTCTTAAAATATGTAAAGGGCTATTATAAAGAGGACAGCAATCAATTGTTCTCCATGTTCACTGAAGGAAGGACAAGCAACAATGGACTTAATTTGCAGCAAGAGAGATTTAAATTGGAGATTAGGCATTTTTTTCTAACTATAAGGATTTCTTATAGTTATTGAATAGCTTCCAAGGGAGATTGTGGGAATCTCCATCATTGGAGGTTTTTAAAAACAGTTTGGACTAACACCTGGCAGGGATGATCTAGGTTTACTTGGTCCTGTCTCAATGCAAGGGACTGGAATTGACTTCTCAAGGTCCCTTCCAGCCCTACATTTCTAGGATTCTGTGATTACAGATCCTATCCTGTAATCATTATTTGCCTAAGTAGCCACACTGACATTTATTTAGATTTACCATTTAAAAACATGTACAAAACTTCTAAGCCCCCTGACAATAATTAGACTTGCAATAACCATCCAATAGCATAAATATTAAGGAACAAATTAACTCCACAAGCCAGCAGCATTAACTAATTAAATGGAGACAACAATTTACCTCAGCCAGCTGATAAATAAAAACAGCAACTCCTAAAAGCCTCTCACTGTTAAGTCACACCCAGGAACATACCCTCATCCTGCCCTCAAAACCCTATGAAACAAATAATTCTACAATAAGATCTACTCACGTGTTTAAGGATTAGGCCTTATCTTTAGAAGTGGAATGTGTCTTTATTCAAGAGAAAAAAACTAAATCACTTGTTAAGATTATCAGCTGCTTCTCTTTAGCTAAGGCTATTCTGTCCTAAACAAAGTACGTTTAAGTAGCAAGTAGCAGATCTTACCCAGAGGGAATCACACAAACAATGCTCTGGCAGCATCACTGTTGCATATTCTCTCTTTGTGCAAACTGCAACCACCAGCGTTCCAGAGCAGGTAATGAAGGCCTCGAAACCCATCCCACTTCCTGTAAAAAAGCTACAGAATGAAAAATCCATGAGATAGTTTATCAGAACTGTTGAAAAGTATCTAGCAGTACGTGAATTCAGTACAAAACCTGTTTAAATTGTTCAGCATGGCTGAAAACATTCCATCATCACTAGTCATATCTAATGAGTAAAAGGATCCTCAAAGTGACATTCTGGTTCACCTAATAAAAACAAACAACAACTACAAGTAAACTGTAGGCACAAGGAACCCTAAAACATGGTGTGCAGGACAAAAGTGGTCCAGTGTTCTCAAAGAAGTTTGTAGCCATCCTCACCTTTACATGGAGATGCAAACCTTGGTTCCAGCATGTAATGTTTCAGCTTAAATCCACAGAGTTTATGCTGGTTTCATATTAAGCACTGCATGTGGGGGACTGTAGTCTCTGCAAGCAACACCTCTATGAAGCCTAGATTCATCTTTATTAATCTGTGCCATTTTGTCAGGAGGGGTGAAGTAAAAGGCTGCCTTTAGGCTTGTGGTAATTTGCCAATACTATGTTTACTTGGGACATTTTGGAGGCTCCTGTTATAGGAATTAGGAAGTATTTTTCTCCAATCAAGTATTTTCCTAAATTTACATTACACACAAAAGTAACTATCCTGCTATACTGTTGCTTTTATTTCTAACACTTTTTAAGGAACCATTTTGACAGAAATTGCATGAAGTCTGAAATTGTTATAGGGAATTTTTTGGTCAGGTCTACACTTGAAATTTTTCCTGGTAAAGTAATGTCATGGGAGTGGGAATGGGGTAATCTTTTGCAATATGTCTATACTGGCAGAAGCCCAAACGTAGATGCGGTTATACTGGCATCAAAGTGCTTTTGCTGGTATAGCTTATTTTGCTCACCCAACTGGTATAAGATATATTGACAAAAGCACTTCTTTGCCAGTAGAAGCTACAATAGGAGGGCTTGCCCGGTTTTCTAGTGCAGACCTGGCTTTAGGCTCTTTTCATACCTTGAACACTTCATTATGAAACATGTGAAAAAATTATTGTCAAAGTCTGTTACATTCCCTCAAACGTGGTTATTATGAGAAGCATTTTCACTACAATCGTTATTAATCATGGCACTTACAGAATAAACAGACGGTGCATCTATATTAAGTGAAAGCTATACAAGTGTGCAGCAATTCTCCAAAAAGGTCCATAATTTTGGAGTTTAACGTATCCATCCTACACACATAATTTGAAAGCTTATTTTATGTATGTTTAGATGAGGCATAATGAGGAGCTGTCAAGTGGTGCTGTAAGCCTGTACGTGAGGTAAATGAAAAAGTCTCATTTTTTGCACAATTCCAGAAACACTGCGATATGACTATACTTACAATTTTTACTGTTTAAATTAACTTCAATACCTTAATATGGTGCTTCTTGGTCAAAGCTACCAAACAACAATGTATTAAAAGACTTTGTATTGGTTTTGCAAGGGCAAGTCCCGTTCCCGTCCCCCCACTCCCCCGAAATGGTGAAGCTGTTTAACATGACAAATATGGCAAATATCAACATTTTGGAATCATAGAACCTGAAGGGACCTCGAGAGGTCATCTAGTCCAGTCCCCTGCACTCAAAGCAGGAGTAAGTATTATCTAGAGTAGACCATTCCTGACAGGTGTTTGTCCAACCTGCTCTTAAAATTCCCCAATGATGGAGATTCCACAACCTCCCTAGGCAATTTCTTACAGTGCTTAACCACTCTGACAGTTAGGAAGTCTTTCCTAATGTCCAACCTAAACTGCCATTGCTGCAATTTAAGCCCATTGCTTCTTGTCCTATCCTCAGAGGTTAAGAAGAATGATTTTTCTCCCTCCTCCTTGTAAACAACTTTTTATGTACTTGAAAACTATTATCATGTCCCCTCTTAGTCTTCTCTTCTCCAGACTAAACAAACCCAATTTTTTCAATCTTCCCTCATGTTTTCTAGACCTTTAATCATTTTTGTTGCTCTTCTCTGGACTTTCTCCAATTTGTCCACATCTTTCCTGAAATGTGGCGCCCAGAATTGGACACAGTACTCCAGTTGAGGCCTAATCAGTGCGGAGTAGAGTGGAAGAATTACTTCTCGTGTCTTGCTTATAATACTCCTGCTAATGCACCCCAGAATGATGTTTGCTTTTTTTGCAACAGCGTTACACTGTTGACTCATATTTCGCTTGTGATCCACTATGGCCCCCAGATCCCTTTCCGCAGTACTCCTTCCTAGGCAGTCATTTCTCATTTTGTATGTGTGCAACTGACTGTTCCTTCCTAAGTGCAGTACTTTGTGTTTGTCCTTAATATACTACCATGAAATGTTTTGACATAACATATTCTTAATTGTCAAAGTATCTCAGAAGTGATAACAGTTATCTACAGTTTTCAGTTGAAATTTGCTGACCACATCAGTCCCACACTGAAGATTGTGTACCAGTAGCACTAGAATGCATGCCCACAGTTTGTATAGCATAGTGGGTAGATATAAATGAACATGAATTCTTAATGTATCAGAGGGGTAGCCGTGTTAGTCTGGATCTGTAACAAGCAACAGAGTCCTGTGGCACCTTATAGACTAACACAGGGGTAGGCAACCTATGGCACGCGTGCCGAAGGCGGCACGCGAGCTGATTTTCAGTGGCACTCACACTGCCCGGGTCCTGGCCACCGGTCCGGAGGGCTCTGCATTTTAATTTAATTTTAAATGAAGCTTCTTAAACATTTTAAAAACCTTATTTACTTTACATACAACAATAGTTTAGTTATATATTATAGATTTATAGAAAGAGACCTTCTAAAAACGTTAAAATGTATGACTGGCACGCGAAACCTTAAATTAGAGTGAATAAATGAAGACTCGGCACACCACTTCCGAAAGGTTGCCGACCCATGGACTAACAGATGTATTGGAGCATAAGCTTTCGTGGGTGAATACCATGTCTGACGAAGTGGGTATTCACCCACGAAAGCTTATGCTCTAATACGTCTGTTAGTCTATAAGGTGCCACAGGACTCTGTTGTGAATTCTTAATGTAATGCTTCTTCATTTATAAGCTATTGCAGATACAATGTAGCATCTAGTCTGCCTGCTAGAACATTTTAATTTGTAATTGCCTATGTGTGCAGTGCTAGCCTTTGAAATATTCTAGGAACTAGCTTTTTAATTCAGTGACACTTATGCATAGGTCAGTATTAGTGCTAAAGATGGGAATACATAGCTTCATATTATGAATATGCAAAGGCTATGAGAGAAAGAAGTGGCCTAACAAGAAATAGTGAAGAAAAAGTCCACAAACTAGTCTTGCCTTCTCACTTAAGAGGGAAAAAGAGCATGTTACAGATTTTACTATATGACAATTAATCATATCCTGTGGCGTTTATCAACATATCTACTGGACTGCATGTAACATAGGATGTACACAAGTCTCTACTGAAAACAGAAGATGTTGGTGAAGAACAAATGGAGAGATTTGAGAGAGATGCACTTGATTCTGATGGGACATATAGCCCGGTCAAGAAATCTGGCATCAAAACATTTACTGAAATTGCCAAGATAACCAAATGTAAATGGCAAGGGAAGAGAAATCACAACAGCCGTTAGTTCAGAAGTTTTTTTTCCTGCAGAGCCTTGTCCTTAGCAAGATGTAGCGATGATGTTTCAAGCGGAACAGTTCTTAATCACCCAATAGGATCTGTGCCTATATTCCTCTTCCATGCTGATGGAGCAATAAAAACCAAGTTCAATTAGGGCATCAGCTGCAAGCGCTAAGCAGAAAGAATCCATGAGCTAAGAGCATACAACAAAGAAACGGAGATGCCAGGACAGCGTAGATCAGAGATGCCAGGGCTGTCATACAAATGATAGCTGGAGACAAATTTCCCACATTCAGTGAACTGGCTGCTGAGTACTGAAGCAGGTCCTAAAAGCAGTTGACAACATGAATTCTGTAATCAAAGTCTGACAGATATGATAACAGTAACTCTGTGAAAACTGCAGAAAGACAGTGCTGGACATGATATAAGGTTGGATGCAAGAAATACCAGGTGATTGGTGGATGCCCTCTGTGCCACCATGGGAAAGTTTCTAAACATGGCATCCAACAAGCAGTCATTTGTAAAATTCCTCTGTGAATCTAGGGTTCAAAAAGCATCAGAGAGCATAGGAGCACACTCAACACCAACACTCCTCTTTGCTGGAGGCTTTTCCAATGGTGAAGTAGCGAAGTCCATTATTAGTAGAGGTGGTGAAGAAGCCCAAGACTTGTACAGTACTCAAGAGGAAGCAGACACAAGGATGCTTCTGCATGCTGTATGTGCCAATATGGCTTTTGGGCTTCTTGGTGTCAAAAGAACCATAGTAAGGAGGTCACCTGATACAGATGTTTTCATCCTTGATGTTCACTACTTTCCAAAAATGAACACACAGATAACACGTGGATTGAAACAGGCACCATTTCTAGCACAACTGACAAGTGTTGCTTCACATCAGTGCATGCAATTTGTGATGCACTCACTCCTGACTTCTGCAACATACTTCCTGCTGCACATGCATTAATGGGATGTGATTCTGTACCATCCCTATTTGGTATGGGGGGGAAATTGTGTTTAATGTTGTGAAAACAAAGGGAGCTTACTGCTTCAGAGATCTTGCCAGACTCGGAGAAAATAATGGACAAGTCAGAATTTCTGCAGCAAGGAAGTTGGCAGCAGTGCTGTAGGACCAGAGCAAGAAAGAAAAGGAGACCCACAGAGACCTGAATTGCTTGTGCCTGAATCTAGCCATCAAAAAAAGACAAGTCACTGGCCAAACTCCCACCATGTGAGGACAGTTTTGAAGAGCATTTCAAAAAAACATCTTGACAAACAAAAATTTGGGTGTCTTCGCACACAGGTGAGCCGTATATCAGTTCACCATCACAACATGGATGGAAAAATGTGTATGCTGAACTACTTCCTGTATTCTTCAAGGGCACAATGGCATCTGAGTTTCTATAAGACCTTATTTGTGCCTGTAC